TTGATAATCATCCGATAATCATTTGATAATCATCCGATAATCATTTGATAATCATCTGATAATCATTTGATAATCACCTGATAATCATCTGATAATCACCTGATAATGTTCTGATAATCATTTGATAATCATCTGATAATCATCTGATAATCATCTGATAATCTAGAGAAATGAATGAGTTTGGCAAACAGACTAATGTAAACTTAAAACTGGGTGGTTCTTTGACATCAAAGCAGCAGATTAACAGGTCTGCTCACCTGGTTGCCCCCACTCTTRGGATTAACGAAAACCAAGACAGGCTTCATCAAAGGCGAAGGGAGGGGCTTCAGAATGAACGGACGCCATCTGGAGTCCTGAGTGGAACAAGAAAGTAGAAAAAAGTTACTGTGTCAGAACCTAACAAGCCCTCAGCTGATGCGTCCAGAGAAAGAATCCTACAAAGATCTCTCTGAGCTGAACCGAGCCACTTTCTGAATCAAAGAAACGCGATGGCAGCCTGATCCACCACGATGCTGTGTGGTTGCTGGGACAGTTTGGGAGTTTTCTAGTTACTTTCTTCTTTGTTTTGTCCTGTTATGTTCCATTTTTGTTCGTCTATCTAATCAGCCTGCCACGCCCATCTCCACCTGTTTCTCCAGCCACAGCTGCAGCCACTCCACTCATCAGCCTYAATTCTTTTGRTTCTTTTAATCCGACCATTGTCTTCCTCCAAACATGACACAAGTTGCACCTGATGTTTGATTTTAATCATTTCATCTTTAAAGCTACTAAACAACATTTGATTAATGAGATCTTATTTTTTATATGAACAAACAACGATGAAATCACTCACATCCAGTCCTTTCTTGCTCGTCCTTCGTTTGAAAGATGTTCTCTTTTTCCTKCGGGCGGAGTTCTTCAGAGAGCTCTGGGGGACGCAGGGAGAGTTCAGCGGTTAGTTCACAGTCGCCACGTTCGCCGTGATGCTGATTAAAAGTGTAATGAAGCATGTGACGTGCCCCTCGGGGTTGGGTTTCTGATGTGTTTGCTGTGTGTGTGTGTGTGTGTTAACAGAGACACAAGCTAAGTGCCTTCAGACGGATCGGACGTCCGTCAGCTTGAATCACATCACGTCTGAAGCCGCAGACACAAAGCGTTTGACAGGACRTTTTTTCAAATTTAGATGCAATGAAGTCATGTTGGATTACCATCACTGAACGACAGCGGGAGAACTTTATTAACTCGAGGGGCGGGGGGAGAACTCTACGTTTGAGTCTTCACCTGTGGTTTCCTAACTTTGATGATCCAGGAGGGCGGGACTATGACTCCGGCGTGAGCCCCCAGCGAACACGACTCCTCGATCTGATGCAGCATGAAACACGTCACCTTGTTGTGGAACTACAAGAACAAATGCCTGTCAATAACTGCTCTGAATAATGAAATAAACCTATCAGCTTTTATTTCTGTCATGTTCTCTCTTCAGAAATAATAACTAATAAAACTGTTTGTTTTAGATGCTCTGCTACAGAAAAGTAAAGGCCTTACAGATAATAAAATGTGAAATTATCTACAGTCATTATGTGCAACAATAAACATCTATACCTTAATTCAAATACACCTACGTCTCCTTTGTTTTGTTTTTTATTAAGCTTTATTGCTTTTACCTCTTATATAATCAGTTTTTATATTATTTCTCTACTTCAGTGTGCAAGAGTAATTAATTATAGATCATTTAGTATGATGTAACGCCAATATGAATATTTTTATTCTAATAATTACAAATGAAAAGTACCGTATTTATTCGTGTATAATAC